GACCATATTTTCAATTTTAATTAACTTTTAATCCCTCCCGAACAGGGCCTTACTATTTTAATATAAGTGATAATGCCATATAATACAATCGAGTCGAGATGACTTGAACAAATGAATTTTTTTTCTTACATTTCTTCCTTTTATAATTTTGTATAATTCTTTTAATTCAATTAACGCCTCCTAACCTCAACATATATTTTTTCACCGTGGAAAACCAAGATTTTAATAAATATGTATGATTTTTCTCTAATATTTTACGCATATAGGCGTTGAGATCTGATATACACTTTTAGATTACATCGCGTGATTAGTTCAAATCCTCTTGTAGTCTATTTACAAAATATTTGCATGCATTAGTCATTTTATCAAAAAGTTTGCACGTGAGAATGTGTTAAAAATGTGATTTAAATGAATGCAAATACTTTAATATAAAAATAAAATAATCCATATAAAATATAATTTATTATCAAAAAATCCATTTAAATGACATAAATTATATCGAGAAAATGTATTAAAATTCTTGAACTACTCAAAGATGACATGCACTAATTAAAGTCGAGACATTGAATTTGAACTCACTAACCTATTTCCATACAATGTACCAACATGACATATATATTAATTAATTTAAAGCTACTAAAAAATAATTATTAATTATTTCACACATTTTACTAATTTCTAATAAACGTGTCCTTTTTTGAATGTAATGCGTGTGTAGTCGGCAGCCACCTACGACATGTGGATTTGTCGTTTTGTTCCATCGCTTTAGCTGTCACTTTTAACAAAGTGGCATTGACCAGTCTCCTGGAAGTTTATTATTCTACGTGGCGAGCTTAAAGATTAACACGTGTCCCATAAATTGGAAAAGTACAAAAGTTTTGGATAAGATGAATTTTGCCACGTAAGATGTTAATGGATAATATTGGATGCTCCCACGTTTTATTTCAAAAATAGTTTATGCTTACTAATTTGGGACGCATGACAGACTCATCCCAGGTTAAGAATACATAGACTAGAGAGTTATCGGTAAGAACTCATTCTTGTCACTTTGAACTTCACATTTCATCAATTTTTATTAAAATTTATTAAAAAAATGATTTTAATTCCCACGAGATAGTGACTTAATGAAATTTCGTTGTTACTATAAAACCGACATGGCAAAAGGCTCTATGAATTGAAAACTGCTATAGCTAACATTTTGGCTTTTATTTTGCATTTAACTATCCGACTTTGTTTAAGTGGAAGTATTATAATTTAATGTAGATGATTAATCTATAGTTCATAAATTTTGTTCTTATATGACCTCGTCGATTTAGTCAGGATCTAAGCAATTTCTCTTTAACATGAAAAGATAAAGGAATCACTCAAACGCTGCAGGTACAATTTTCGAAACCTACTTCAAGCATCGGATAAAGTGTGAAGAGTCAAACAGTGAAACTAAGGTCCAACAGGTAGTGGTAAAGTATTAAAAAATAAAGAAGAACAAATTTTGAGGGGGTAATTAGCACGTCCTTACCTTCACTGTTATTGAGTAAAAGTTCATACATTTCATTTTTTGACATTTTCACATTTAATTATACTTTTGATTGCACGAAATATCCTTCTGTTAATTTTTATAACATTCCATTAAATGAACATCCATAGTCAAAAAAAATTCAAAATGGAAAGGCGTTATTGTTTTAAAACATTTAACAGACGTTTTGTGCAATCAAATCAAAATTTCCATTAGAATGATATTTAACAGAAATGTTGGATGGAAATTAATAGGACGACGTTTTGTGCAATCAAACGTGTAATTAAGGGTGAAAATGTCAAATAAAATGAAAAGTATGAACGTTTTACATAATAATAGTGAGAGAAAATTAGCATAGACAAGGTGTTTAGTTTTGACTTTTAAAAAATCAGGTTTTTAGGTTATTTATTCAAAAATCAGGTTTTAATTTTACAATTAATATTAATAATAATATTTTTAAAT